TCCTCTATTGCACACCACCTGCAAATAAATGAGTGAAATTGCCTGAGCTTCATTTAATCTTATACTACTAGGAGAATCAAATTCAATCATGCTTCTGGAAGAAACAAAGTTATTTTTAGTGTAATGGTAATATATAATGTCATTTGTAGCGTCATTTGGCAATGACATCTTTACTTTTATAAAACATTTGAAAAAGCTCATGGCCAATTATTCTTTAGTGAATACATGTTATTATATTATAATGCAATACAGCAACAATATGATGTTACAGTGTAGTAAAAAGTTCTTGGCATGAATCTGTATTTGAGTTTATTGCATAACGAGCTCAATCCTGCTGACAACGACATTGATGAATGCTTTGCCATTGGTTTCACTGGAAACCTCAACATGCCCGACGGTTGACTAATAAACACAAGTACTCTCTTACACAGACCATTTCTGATCGGTGACAGTAAAATGATTATATCATGTCATTGGTTTATGCTACCTATATAAGCAACCAAAAACTTTTCAGAATGCTGGGTATTATGTCTCACAGAATTTGAGGATGCTTTAAATAGATTTAGAGGAATAGTACTGTGGCCATCTCAAAGTTAGTCCATTTAAGAATGTTGTAAATGTATATAAATAAGCAGAGAGAAGTCTTAAAAGATGGCTGAAATTCCTACAAGCAATTGGAAAGTGAGGAAACGACATTTAGCATGAAACTGATTAAAAAGCAAATACAAGGGAATTACACTGAGCAGCAGAACTAATGTTTAATGAAACAGATTAAAACGTTCACATTTTTATAAATCATCCAAGGGCTGCTCTTTATTTTATTTGTGATGAAATGAAATCTGAAACAAGGTTCTACGGCCAGCATAAACACGGATGGATGTGGGGCACACCCTCAGCCCTCCCCCAGTGCCAGAGGCTCTGGAGGTGAGGTAACTCCAGCCCTGACATCTCTCCCACCTCCCCAACAACCTGACCAAATGTTGTCTCTGGAACAGGTCTAAGAGTGACTTTCAGGCTACGCCTGCACTAGGAAATGGTCTGGAGATTGTTCCTCTGCCCTGAGGCCATCTGTCAGAGCAGTGTTTCTGTAAGGCTAAAACTCTCATTGTCAACTCTCTTACTCTCCAGCACAGGATGGCTGGACCAGACAAAGCACCAGGAATCACCCTTGGCCCATACCACACCCTGAACTGCACAAGGGTATTTTTTAGAACACTAACTGCTGAGAGCAAAACCATACCAAGAAGTAAGCTAACAGATCAGTGTGCTAGCCTAGTGCAGACATAGTTTTTGTATCCCACAGTGACAGGGAACACGTGGTACATAAAAAGAAAAATGTACGGCCCAGCATTTTCTCTGGGTAGGCACTATATATTACTCAAACGATACTTCATGGAACATGAAGGAAGGGTATCCTGCTGGAAGCAGAGTGGGTCTCTCCCAGGAAGGAAAAAATGATCCTGGTGTAATTGCAGGATGAAAATTAAAATTATCAAGCACACCTCATTCTGTCTGCACAGCCAGATGAAACATGCAGGTTTTCCTTTGCACTTCAGCTTCATTTCAAGCAAGCTTTAAAGACAAAACCTGCACAAATTTCAGTGGGACTTTTGCCTGTGTATGGGATGCAGAACAGAGCCCTCTCCTGGTAAGCACGGAAGATAATTGAGGACACCCCTGGCACCGTATTTGGCACTGTCCGCAGCACATATCTATGTGATGAAGTATTGAATGTAGGCACTCAAAATAAAATATTAGAAAAGCTCAGCTATTTGGAGCCATGGAACCTTATGATTGAGGTCAGATTTGTCTGGATTAAAAAAATATATGGAAATCTAAATAACACTGAAATGATGGCATACTTGAAAACTGAAACCAGAAAATAGGTTACATAACATACTTAAAGGCACAGTTGGCACTTCAGGATCACAATGACTAGCCAGTTGTAACCTGTTTTTGAACCCACAGCTGAACCCTGCATGTCGAATTACTGAAAAGGGCGGGTCACCTTCTTTTTAAACCTGAAATCTGATAACCAGGGCAAAAGAACCCCCATTCATTCTTTCTTTTTATGACTATAAAGCCATGAAGCACCAATAATAACCTTAAGTATACAGATCAACAAACTTTGCCTAATTAACACACTTTTGGATTTCATACTTGAACCTGAAAATGAGAAACTATATTTCAAAGCCCTGCTTTTGTAGAACAAAATTTACAACAGGTATCTAAACTGGATGCGGCGTACTGTAGGCACTTCAATAAATCATAATAATGATACATTGCCAAAATAGTGGCTGTCTGTCAATAGACTTTCTCAGAATAACTAAGTATAATCCCTTTGCTTCAACAACAACAACAACAACAACACCACAACCTTTTGGTCACTGAGATGCAATGTAAAAATGTATTTGTTTCGTTTCAAAATTATTTATAAAAATTCTAAAGCCCACATTGTTTATAGTTAACATATGCAAACATGATTATCTGGAACCATACTACTTATGGCTGTAATCTCATTAGATTTCACAAGGTAAGTAGGGTTGGGTCAACAGCATTTGCATGGAAGACCTCCAAGGAAATTCCAAGTTACTGTATGAACTGGTATTTGTGCAGGGCAACATTCTTCTGCTGACTCAATATTGAACCAGCGTAAAGTATATGATCACAAGTGCTGTCTTTATATAAGAGGTAAACCCAAGGATACCGAGCACTTGCGGTCATTAAACACCCTATGGTAGTTTTTGCAAGTGTAGGAGTGCCTGGCCAAATACCAATCTAGATAATTACATCCTGCCTACTTACATTCCCCTGTTGCTTTAAATGGATAGGTATTATTCTTCTATTCTTGTGTAAATGTGGATCCTACAGCCCTTCCTTGGGCTCTGTTAGGACTATTTCTAGCATGACCTTCTCCATTAAGGGCTCTATATGGTCACACAGAGTCATTTATAAGACTTGATATATTATACTAGATTTTGGATTTGATGTCTTCTGAAATCACTTCCACTGAGCTCACTGGACTTTACTTCAGCCCAAAGACACCAATTTAACCAAAATCATCATTCGATTCAATTGAATTCCTAGCTGTGAAAGTAATAATTACAATAAATCACTGTGAAAAATTAGTGTTTGGTTATGAGATTGGTTTCTGTAGGACTTCTTTCAGTACCCGTGGCTCAGGCCAAATGCTCATTAGTTTTGTGCATGACCCAGTCTATTCTCACTGAAATCTATAGCTAAATAGCAACATGGTTCAATGACAGCAAGGCCAGGCCCCTCAGTGGAAGACTTGGCCTTAGGTCTGTACCATGTAACAGCAGTGTGATTCTCCCATCCCTCCTCAATCTGAAACATGTTACAATGGACAAAGATCATACATAATCTTTTCAAGTCATCCATATCTTACATTTTAAGAGAGGATGCAACAGATGGTTAAAAGCTTTCTTTAAAGTGATATGTCTATTAAAACAACCCATGTTACTAGGGGACTGTTCCCCATAATGGGAATTTGCTTCATTGAAGTAAAGTGGAAGGAAACCAGACTTCAGAGAACCTTTATTATCGTGTTCAAGTACCTCAGGTTAGATCACTGCAGTTAACAAAAGTCCTCTCAAAAGGAAGGGGTTGTTAGCACGTTTCCCTACAGAAGGAGCCTGTTAGCAAGATGGGGGCTGGCGTTAGTCAGGACTGTTACTCTGCAGCAGGGATGTCAATCGCAATTATTCCTGCAAACCTGAGTTTTCCCCCCTGCCAGTTACTCTCTAAACTCTCAGTTTCAAAATTCACTTCATATTTCTGGCTTGTCCTACACTATGTCAATTTGAAGGCTGGCTTTTGGGGGCTGTTTTAGTTTAAATGTTTTTCTAGCTGTATTTGTGTAGGTCAAAAGAGTTTTCCAAGTCTGTTCTCTTTCTGAGTGGCGACTCTCCCAAGACAGCAAATGCAGGGTTTTTATAGACTTGTTTTCATGAAGATGTAGTCATCTTAAGTCTGAAATTATTTAGGAGAAAGATGACCATGTTAATACAATTCACTGAATGCAAATTATGAAATTCAAAGGCAGACAGCTTGAGTAAAGTTACGCTTTAAATAGTATCACCAGATGCAAAGTAAGCAAACAGAAGGCAGGTAGGAAAGAATCTTCACAGATTTGTACTTTTTTTCCTTCATTTCATGTCACTTGCTGACCTCAAAATCTTCTGACATTCAGTACTTCTGAAAAGCAAGCCTTTTCTCCCACAACCCTCTCCAGCCATAGGGCCTAACTTTTGCTTCTTCTTTTGAATTTTTGACTTACACTCTTTGGAAAGTGAAGTTGGCCTGAGAGAGAGAGAGTGATGTAGCTGGTTGAACATGAGGCACCCAACACACTCAGTGAGATAATACTCAGGAGATAGTACAAGGTGAAGGATAAGAGTATGAAATATGACTAAGCAATTAAGGATTTTCTTCTGCTTCCTTGCACTAGATAGAAAATATGACCAAGCACAGCTGCTGAATTTCCAGCAGAAAAAGAGCGTTCAGTTTCAAAGCAGAAAGGACTTTGTCTCCATCCACGCTAACCTGCTCGAGAGGAAGGAGACAAACACATCCTATAAAAGGTGCAGTGATAGGTCCTGTCATGTAGCGCTTGATCATACTTGATCGATCATATATATATTCCCAACCTTTCCAGCAAGTCAGGGTTACTTTAGGGTGGGGGTTTATTGTAGAAGAAACAAAAGGGAAAAAGTGAAGTGTGGACATTGGTACTCGAGTGGATGAGTTGGTCGGCTGCTGGCTGATTTGCTACCCGTGCCCTCCGGGGCCCTCTCCTCTGTGCCCACCACTGCTCCCTGTAGCTGCCAGGGAGTAGCGAAGGGGAAGGGTCCAGGCCTCGGGCTGCGAGGCCGGGGACAGCGGGACCTGTCTCT